CCAGTATGTACCTGTACATGTGACTGAATCCCACATGGCTGTTTGTTAGATATTTATTCACCGTTTGTGTGCAGGAGCCAGTATTTCAGTGCAGCCCCAGGATGGGAAAAGGCTGTACGACACCTTTAGTTTGGTGCTGAATTTGGTGCTATTTTATTATACGTTCATTATTATTTGACAAAGTTAAAACGATCATGATATGATTGTAGTGTACAATGATTGGTTCTTGTTCTCTTTCAGCAGTCTTTGATTGCTGGGCAACAAATATACTATAAAGGAACTATTATTGGAATAATTCTTATCTCAATTATTATTAATAACACATATTTTTTGCAGAATTGTGTATTTTATCATATTTTATGTTACCATCCAATATCAGCTAATCAATTCTCCATTAATTAAGTCAAGTACCAAACTTCTAACCAAGATACCAATAAGATACCAATAATTTACTGTATTTATGTTTACTTAGATTTATTGTAATATATTACGTTAATGGTTTTTGGAGCCGACAAACACACTTACTACAAAGATAAATAGTTCTAAAATATTTATTTCGTTTTGTCCTGTATATTTACTATTATTAACATCATCAGAACAATAATAGTGTAGATGTTTACTATGTTATAAGTAAACTGCATAGTGACTTTGAGGATATGACAAATGATACTTCAAGGCATCTTCATGAAACATAGTGCGTCCCGATGTTTCGTTTTCTGAGATTTGATAAGACAATGAAGAACCAGCAGTGCCAGTTAAAAAAATACGAACAAAAACTTTAAATACAGTGTTTTTTATTCAACGTTTCAGCCTTTATGCATTTTGCATAGCAGGTACGCATTTTGACATCAATGTACGCTGATATGATTTGTCACTCTAAACTACGCAAAGAAGTGGTGACGGGAGTTTAATTGTGCACGTGCAGTACTCAAATCTAACCGCTAGAGGCAGCAGCGTCCAGCCTTCTGAAAAACTGCCCAGGCATGACAAATACGTAAGGACAGTAATTTCAAAACACTGCAAGTTGATGGCAACACGAAATGTTTTTATTCTTCTCGTTTCCCCTCCTTACTTCATCTGGCTGTTCCACAAAGGAGGGCGGTGCCTTTAACGCCTTTGTAAAGGTTTACAAAGGTCTGCCAAATTCAGTTAAACAGAACCAGTTCTGTTCTTTAAGTACTGATGATTTTCACAACGTACTAGAAAGAGCACATTGTGACGTAAGTAAACATTGTATGAGGAACAGATAGAAATAGTTCAAATCTAATTCAAATCTTTTAAGTCCTTTGTCTGTAAATTCTGTCTGTAAATCTCTGTAAATTGCCTTTTAAAAATATGTCTCTTGTTAAACGATATATACATATTTATACAGCATGTTAAAAAGCAGATCTTAAATCATAGTAATCAGTAAACTATGAGGTGTTTTTTCTATGGTTTTTCTTCCTGTATAGTTACTGTTTCAGAAATACAAAGCTTTTTTAGGACAGCAGTGATTATATAATTATATCTAAAGGTTATGTAGTTATACTAAGTATAATAGCGTGTGTGTGTGTGTCTGTGTGTGTCTGTGTCTGTGTGTGTGCGTGTGTGTGTGTGTGTGTCTGTGTGTGTCTGTGTCTGTGTGTGTGCGTGTGTGTCTGTGTGTGTGTCTGTGTGTGTGTGTGTGTGTGTGTGTGTGTGTGTAGTTGTACTCTCTGCTCCAGTCTCAGTCAGATGCAGCGCTGCAAATTTCTCGTCAGCTGTGCTGGCAGGACACTCTGATGCGCTTGTTGGTCCGGAGTCCCGGGACTGAGGGGAGCACGAGTTCGTGCCGGGCCGATTCGGCCAGCCTGGGCAGCCTGGAGCTCGGCCGCAGCAGCGGGGGAAACAGGCTGGAGCCTCCGCTGGACCGGAGGACACTATCGAGCAGCGAGGGGAAGCTGAATGATGAGAGAGACAGCGTTTCGGATAGCAGGTCTATAGACAGCCTGGACAACGGAGACATGCTGTCCCTCACTGAGACACCAGGGGACGCTCCCTTTAATTATTATGTAAATAAATCCCCCAAGGCTGGGAAAGCCGGGGCCTTGAGTTTGGACCTGTCCCAGATGCACCTGTTCGATCAGGGGGACAGCGGGAGTCAGACCCCCGGGAGCATGCCCAGTACACCTTCACCGCTGGAGAACGCCAAGCCTTTCCCTGGAGCCGCAGCCGAGCGGGAAACAGCTTCTTCTGATGACAACTTCCTGTTCAGTGACAACGTCTCTCTGGGAGAGTCCTTTAACAGCGCCGAGGTGAGGCAGTAGTTCGTATGTGTGTGTTTCAGTGAGCTGCCCTGCTGGGTCTCATATTCGAAACCATGCGTTGGTGTAACGGGTCAAACCCTGTCCCAAAGCTTCTGGACGGGGCCTTAACTCGAGACACGGTCGAAAAACGAGCCAGTGTCATTGTGATATAACAGTAAAAGTCATAAAACATGTATACGTACTTATAAAACATGTATACAAACAGCAGACAAACTGACCAATCAGAGCACACTGGGCTCATCGGGAGGCGGGGTTTAAAAGCGCAGGAGCTCTAACAGTGCATTTCACACAACAGAGATGTACAATATGAGAAAATTGTGTTTTTGGAACATTGAAGTATGTAAATCTATACTAGTACAGCCCAAAAATAAAATTATGAACACTGAAAATGAGCATAATAGATCCCCTTTAATAACTACTTACTTCATCATAAATAACGACTATATTTGTCTCTCGAAGTAAATGATGTTCACTGTAATATACTAATTTTACTACAGCTTTATGATGAAGAGCAGCTTATATACACTACACTGTAAATCACAGTAGAAATTCATACCGTCTCATTAGTAGTAAAAATGAGTGCTTTACAACATAATAATTAATTAATAACAATAAATTAGTTGAGGATAAACAGATAATTTACAGGACTAAGGCAGAAATATTGGTTAGTTCTCATGCTACTTCTTTACGTTAGTAAACACACTCATCAGTTCATTAACAGTGTAATAAGCAGCCTTTAGTACACAGTTTATAAATGAGCTATAAACTCTGACAAACTAAATTATCAGTTAACAGTGTACTCAGTTAACTAATATGTAAATAATTAATATTTAATTGGTGTATAGTTATTAAGTCATTTGAAACTCTGTGTAAAGTGTTACTGTGTAATTAGGCCAGGGTGCCCTAACTTTTGCAGACAGCTGTTCATACCCTGCATATCCAGATGCTATGAAACTGGAACCATGATTAAAGGTATTTATTAGATGAACACCAGATGTATTTATTAGATACACCACCTAGGGCACCACCTAGTGTATTGTAGTGGTAACTGTTCCCAGGTCAGGCTGTTCCTGCTAATACCGGGTTGTGGAACAGAACAGCTCAGTAACTTTATCAGAAATGCTCTTTGCTGCTGTCAGTAAAATGTTTGGTCTGTTGTATGTTTTGTCTTTTGCAATAGGGCTGGAATCTTAAAGGGAAATTCCACCGTCCACATTTTTCTAAATTTCTGCAAAACTCAATCGTTAAGATGTAAATTTATGTGGTTTAGTGTGAAATGGTTCATTGCAGAGAAACTTTGAGATTTCCTTACAGTGGTGATGTTGAGAACCAAGGGTTGCAGTGGCTACAACACAAATGTACCTTTTGTATTTAGAATTCAAAACCTCCAGTGAATCTACACGAGTCTTCTGAGTGTTGAAATGTGATGATGATGATGATACAGGAGTGGGAATTTTTTTTTCCTTTGGCGACTGTTTTGCCCTTACAGTGCTCTGCTTGCACCACTCCACCATAAAATCATTTTAAAAGCGCATTTTAGACCGAAATATTATTTAAAAACTATTGTAAAACTATGGCTCAGGCATATTTATAACCATTTTATGCAATAACTTTCTGTAAAGTATCTTTTAGAGATGGTAAACTCTTCAGACGTCTGGTTCCTGTCAGCACCACTGTGAACGATTCTGACTCAGTGACTTTCTCTACAATAGAGCATTTCTTATCAAACCATTTTGAATGACATTGTTTATATCTTTCACATATAATTATGCAGAAATTATGAAAAATCCATGGAAATCCCTTTAAGCTCCGTTCAGTGCCTTTGAACTGGTCCTCTTTGTACAGAGTGAAGTGACTGTGCTGTTGTGATTTGACCGTGTTCCTGTTCCTGCAGCGTGCGGAGGACGAGCTGTGGCGGATACTGTTAGAGATCGTGCTGTGTGTGATGTGGCGCGGTGTCGGGGGTTCAGACGATAACGCCTGGCTGGAGAGAGGGCAGGTGTTCTCTGCTCTGACCAAACTGGGCACTGCCAACGAACTGCTGCTGCCTGTTGACCACATCAAGCTAAGGTATGAGGGAGACGGAGAGGGAATTAAAGTAAATAATAATGCCAAATTACTGTACGACCTCCTGTTACCTGTTAAAATGGAGTAACAGTATTTCATACCATGTCAAAAACCACATAAGCAAGTCTGTTCAAGATTATTTAACAACTTGGTTTATGAGAGGTGTGACAGAGGTGTGACAGAGGTGTTGGCATGAAGCTTGCACAGTGCCAGTTGGCCAGGTATAAACTTTACTTTCACTACTCCAGCTGCATTGGCTTCGTACCTCCAGTGCAAAAGTAAAGAAGCAAACTTTAGACACCATATATGATGTCCATGCGCTGCCAGCTGTGAGTCACCCTGTAAACCCTGAAATGACCATTTAAAAGGTGTTGGGTCAGATTTTGCTGGAGGCTTTTGTATTAATGCCACACAGAGGCTCAAAGAGAAGGTCTAGCTTCAAATCAACATTATACTAATGAAGATGACAATATTAGATCATTCACTTAAAATCTTTGGACGATGCGAAGTTTTCTTTGACTACTTTTTCAACACAGTCATCAGCTCCACAGTCTAAATTACCAAATGGTTTTCTGCACGTTGCAATTATACATTTCCACCAGAGAGGTCTCCAGATCCCCAAAGCTTACATAGTGCTGTTCTCCGATA